TTTATGAAAGCAAAAGACTGAGATAAACACATGCACTTAGCACTCAGAAAGTCCAGAATTATCCATTTAACATAGTTTTGACTTCCAAAGTAACAAACTACCCCACTGTTCAAGGAGGCTTGAAAAAGTTCATGGAAACTGAGAAAGGTAGTTTCCTTGCAGGGAGGAGGCTGGCTTGCAAAGTGTGACCTTTGGACATTTAAACAAATATATATTTTCAATGTGGTATGTGTATTTCAAAAATAAAAAGTTAATAGAGCTAAATACTGTTAACTGATGGTACATGGAGGGCATTGTAATGATTGCAATGATATGTTCAATCATCAGTAAAATTGATGATCCACCCTGTAAACTGTCACTCATTCAATTCACAATAAAACTTAAAAAGAAAAACTTCATGGGGAAAAAAAAAAAGAATTAAAAGATAATGGAGCAGCCAACAAACATGAAGAAATATTAACAATCATTAGCCATTGCTGTTGTTGTTATGTGCCGTGGAGTCGGTTTCGACTCATTGTGACCCTGTACAGGATTTCTGAGGCTGCAAATCTATGGGAGTAGAAAGCCTCAGCTTTCTCTCACAGAGCAGCTGGTAGTTTTGAACTGCTGACCTTAAGGTTCGCAGTTATGTGCTGTGGAGTCGGTTCCGACTCATAGCGACCCTACACAGGGTTTCCGAGGCTGTAAATCTTTACGGGAGCAGACTGCCTCATCTTATTCCCGTGGAACCGCTGGTAGTTTCGAACTGCTGACCTAAAGGGTGGGGGGTGGGGTGGGATTCTTTGCTGGTTTCCAGGGTGTGGAGGGGTAGTGTGAGGGGAGGAAGGTGGAGCACAAGGTAGTGAATAGACACAGGATAGTTTGGATGCTAGAGAGGGGGAAAAAACACAAGAAGGGGGAGGGGAATGGAAGAATAAGGCGGATGGGAAAACAATTAGGCAGATTCGCATGGGCAAAGTGGACAGAGGTAAATAATGATTTATGCACAAACTTGGAACAACAGGGCTCAAGGATACAGGGATTGAGATATGGTTGGAATGGGCAAAAAGGGGGAAATAATATTAAGATATTTGACTGTCTTTTGAATCTTGGTTTCCCTGGCATACCATTATAAAATAGATACTTGAGGGGGAGAGAAAGGAATATCCAGAAATATCAGAAAGCTTGTAAATCCGCCTTCTGCTTATAACTGATTGGAATGCCTAAAATGGGGCTACAATGTGCCCAGTCAAGAAGGCTTCCTGCAGAGCCTTTGCATCACATAAGACCATAGGTGGAGTCCTGAACCCCATCCAGAATTTTCTGAGGTGACAAATTTCCACTTGAAAGGACAAGCAGACCAGCCTGAAGCGGCTAGAAGAACAGAAGATACTTCCGGAAAGAAAGACAGACAGGATAAATACAAAACAATAATGGCAGTCTTACTGATTACTACAAGAACAAGCAGGTTGCTCACCCAAGAGACATCAAGGCAAGACGTTAGGTCCCCTCAGGACAAAACCCTTCCAAGACTAAGACTCAATGGAAATACAAGAGTAGATGTGCACTCTGATTAGTGCCCACATTTGTCACTGATGAGGGAAGTGAGGGAAAAACAGCAATGAAGCGGTGAGCTAAGCCCTACAACGTTCAATAGACTACTGTGAAACCAGGGGGAGACCTGGTTAGCCAGCAGTGTGGCAAGACCTGAGGACTCTTGGGCCCAGAGTCAGTGACATAGCCACAGAGGACTAGAGTGGAGAGTGAAGAGTCCAGCTGATAAGAAGAGAGGGCATATGCACAAGAACACCCACACTTGCAGATAACACCCACTTGACCTAACTTCAATGACTGGATGATCAGAGCTCAACTAGAAGAAGAAAGAAGAGGAAAAAAAGAGTAAATGGATACAATTTGATGAATTTGACCTACACCTATAAATGCAGTAGCTCGAAAGAGGGAACAAATCTTTACAATGAGCATCATTCCCACCCCCTTGATACACAGAGTAGACAGGGGTGGGCAACTTGGACATTGTCTACCCAAAATGGGGTGGGGTGGAATACAAAGGCAAGAAGTTACTGGTTTACAAGC